TGACCCCTCTGTGGGCCCAGTGCTTGCACGGTCTTCCACTGTGCTTCCGTGTCCGGCGGTCCCGTCTGGTGAGCTGTCTGGTCTCCACCTCCCCTCGTTCTCTACGAACTTGGTGAGCAACGCCGTCCTTCTGGATCACTGGGTTGACACCTTTACTCCTGGAGGACAGCCTGTGGCGATCTGCACGTGCTCTCGGACCGGCCGTCACCTGGCCACGTTCACACGTGCGCCTGGGTCCAGTCTGTACACCCTCACCACTGCGTCGCGCTCCACCCCTTTGTCTCCCCAGCTGTATGCGTCTGCTCAGGTAGCTACCCAGTGTGAGTGTCGCCGGCTGTCACACAACACTCTCCTGTGGCACCACCACCTTGGTCACCCCTCCCTGGCTCGCCTTCGTAGCATACACTCTCGCTTCCTGGTCTCTGGCCTTCCCAGGTCTTTGCCTGCCCTCCCTCCCTCGCCTGCACCGCCCTGCATTCCTTGCGTCGAGGGGCGGCCGCGCGCCGCTCCTCACTCCTCCTCGTTCCCTCCCACAAAGGCTCCACTGCAGACTCTCCACCTGGACGTGTGGGGACCAGCCCGCGTCCGTGGACACGGCCACGAGCGGTACTTCGTGCTGGTCGTCGACGACTTCACGCGTTACACCACGGTCTTCCCCTTGCAGCGCAAGGGGGAGGTCCCTGATGTTTTGATCCCCTGGATCCACGCTGTTTGTCTCCAGCTCCGCGAGCGGTTCCAGTCGGACTTTCCTGTCCTGCGTCTGCACTCTGACAGAGGTGGTGAGCTCTCCTTAGACCTCTTGGCAGCCTTCTGTGCGGAGCACGGCATCCGCTAGACGTTCACGCTTCCGGCCTCTCCGCAGCAAAATGGGGTTGCTTAGCGCCGCATTGGCTTGGTCATGGAGGTCGCTCGTACCTCCATGATCCATGCGGCTGCCCCCCATTTTCTGTGGCCGTTTGCGGTCCGGTACGCCGCGCAACAGCTCAACCTCTGGCCCCGTGTCTCCTTGCCGGAGACCTCGCCCACATTGCTGTGGACCGGGAAGGTTTGCGATGCGTCACGTTTCGGGGTCTGGGGTGCTCGTGCCTTTGTCCGCGATCCCACCGCGGACAAGCTCTCCCCTCGCACCATTCCCTGCGTTTTCCTTGGCTTTGTCCCTGACGCGCCTGGCCGGCAGTTTTACGACCTCGCCTCGCGCCGTGTCTTTTTGTCTCAGGACGTCACCTTTGACGGTTCAGTTCCCTTTTACCGTCTCTTTCCCTACCACACTGCCCCTCGCCCCCCCCCCCCCCCCCCCCCCCCCCCCCCCCCCCCCCCCGACGCTCTTTCTCGCCCCAGGTCCTCCCCAGGTAGACCCCCTCCCCGCGCCAGGTCCTGCTCCTTCAGGTATCTCTCAGGTAGACTCTCCCGTACCTGCGCCTATTGAGGTCACTGGTGACTCAGGTCCTGCTGGGGGTGGTGCTGTCCCTGGGGGTACGGAGCTTGGGGGTGCAGAGTGTGGGGGTGCTGAGCCTGGGGGTCCGGAGCCTGAGTGTGAGGGCCCAGGAGGTGCTGAGACTGGGGGTGCGGAGCCTGGAGGTGCTGAGCCTACGGGTGAGGAGACTGGAGGTCCTGAGCATGGGGGTGCTGCGTCTGGGGGTGCTAAGCCGGCGTGTGAGGAGCCTGGGGGTGCTGAGTTTGGGGGTGCGACGCCTGAGGGTTCTGCGACTGCTGTTCCACGGTCTCCTTGGAGTAGCCGTCTTCGTCCGCGTGTGCCTCTCACCTCACAGCAGCTACACGACTGGTACGGTCGCCGTCAGGGTCGCGCTTTCGGAGCTCGAGGCTTTGCTGCTAGAGGTACTTCTGCTGACGTCACTGGAGATTGTGAAACTTAGAACGAGAATGAATGAACTATGAAAGAGTTGGGTACAAGTACTAACCCTAATTGGGTTGTACCCCTTATGTGCTACCCCACTACAGCCTACACAAATGCATAAGCTCTAATGTTCTGACACACCCCCATAGGCACAGTGGGGGAGAACAAGGGGTCACAAGACCAGTCAAGCAAAGCAAAGCAAAGCAAGCTCAGGGTGGATCACAAAGTCACCACACATTCCGAGCACAAGTTCAAGGCCACAAGGCCAATTCACATGCAGGAGTACATATATATATAAGGCTAGACAAGCAAGAGCAGGTATATATATATATATATGTAACACTACAAGCAAGGTTAAGAGGTGAGCAAGTGAGGTAAGACAGGGACAAGACCCAGCTGAGTACAGAAGCGCTGATGATCACAAGGCGCAAGTGCCTTGGTGAAGATATCAGCAGTGTTGGCCTCAGAGGCCACGTACACAAGTCGCAACTGACCACGCTGTTGTAGCTCACGAGCAAGGAAGTAGCGGAGAGCAATATGCTTTGTTCTGTGCTCCAGTCTTTGCTCTCGACACAAGGCCAGCATGGCCTTGTTGTCTACGTACAGAACTGGAGGAGAACGAGGCGGCTCTCCGAGGTCAGTCAGCAGGTAGGTGAGCCAGCGAAGCTCCTGTGCAGCCATGGCCCCTGCGTAGATCTCAGCCTCACAACTGGAGCCGAGAACAGAAGACAGGCGAGTAGCCCGCCACAAAACAGAGCCGGAACCAAGGCTGAAGGTGTAACCCTGTGACGACCGCTTCGTAGCCTGGTTGTCAGCCCAAGAAGCGTCTGCGTGCCCAGTGAGGACCACTGGACTCCGCCCTCCAAGCACTAGCCCCATGCCCAACGTACTGCACAAGTAGCGCAACACCCTCTTCGCTGCAGCCATGTGCTCCGGTCTGTGTCTCCCAGGAGCAACATAGCGTGCGAGAATGCTAAGAGGGTATGCAAGGTCAGGTCGTGTGCAGGTCATCAGGTACATGAGGCAGCCAACAAGCTCTGGGTACGGGCCACTCGACCCTACGAACTCATCCGAAGGCAGAGCTGAGAGCGAGTGGCGAGTAGGCAGAGGAGTGGCCTGAGGCGAGGAGTACGTGAAGCCGAAGCGCTGAAGGACCTGCTGCACCATGTGTGATTGAGTAAGAGTAATGGTGCGGCGTGCTCTGTCCCGGGTGATCTGCAAGCCAAGATAGCTGCGCAGTTCACCCAGGTCTCTGCACATGTGTCTCTTCTGCAGCTCGGACTTCACGTAGGCGAGTCCAGCAGTGTCAGCTGTTGCAAAGACCAAGTCGTCGACGAACACGAGGATGTAGAACGGCAGCAAAGAAGTGTCGGAGCGCAGAAACAGCGACGGGTCAGCAGTAGAGGGAGCAAACCCAAGAGCCGCAAGCGTAGTCCTCAGTGTGTCGTGCCACTCACGTGGCGCCTGGCGGAGACCGTAGACTGGCCGCCGGAGACTCCACTGGGTACCAGGAGGGAACGACCCAGTGAAGCCAGGTGGGCGACGCAGCCAGATCTCCTCGTGCAGGCTGCCCTGCAAGAAAGTTGTGCTGAAGTCAAGAGAGTGCAGCTCGTAGTCACGGTGAGCAGCAACGTGCAGCAGTACCCGAAGAGTGGTCATCCTCGGGGTGGGAGAGAAGGTCTGAAAGTAGTCAACTCCCTGCCTTTGACTAAAGCCACGAGCCACGTAACGTGCCTTGAAGACAGGCGGAGAACCCGGCGGCCGCTTCACCCTGAAAATCCACATGCCACTGATGATGTTCGCCCCAGGCGGGGGAACCTCGTCAACGTAGGTGCCTGTGGACTTCCAGGAAGCCATCTCTGTGTCCATAGCTGCCTGCCACTGAGAGGAGTAGGGACCCTCTATCGCCTCCGCGTAAGTGCGCGGAGTCGGGATGTCAACTGCATCCGGGTCTCCCTCAGGGGTAAGCAGTACGGACACGAGATGAGGTGAAGCAGCAGCCAGACACTGGAACTCCTCCTGCCTGTCCTCAAGGACGTCCGTGCCAAGGGTACACTCACCCTCGACGGACGGAGGAATGAAGAACTCAGACTCAGCAACAAGACTAGCAGCGTAGTCTAGGCGACAGCGAGCAGCAAAGTCAACGAGCTCAGCAACTAGGGCAGACGCAGCAGTGGACTCAAAGGAAGGGTCAGTGACAACAGTAGCAAGGAGACGCGTGGCAGTAGGACTGGCAGCACGAAGAGAGTCCGACTCCGGGTCGGTAAGACCAGGAAGAGAGGACTCAGGAGGAGAAGGCAAAGGGGCACGCAGAGGAGTAGTGGACGGACGCAGAGACATCCAGTGCGTGCCAGGGACAGGAGGAGGACGCGGACGCGAACCACGACCACTAGTGCGAGCAGGACGGACAAGCGACGCAGGGCGAGACGCAGGCTCACGACGCTCAGCAAAACCTCTAGTAGAACCAGTGTAGGGAGAAGGATCAGGCAAAGGGGAGGCCGGCTGTAACTGTAACTTTGACGGGACAGGCTGTGGACACTCAAAGGGAGGAGGAGGACCAGTAGAAGGCGGAAGACCAAGAACCTGCTGAAGGAGCGGAACGAAGTACGGTCGAGGCCGCGGGGCGACTCCAGACACAGCAGGGACAACACCAGGACCCCCAGCAGGAGCACCAGCGCCAGCAGCACCTCCAGCTCCTGTACCCGCAGCAGCTCCAGTAGCTCCACGACCTCCAGCAGCACCAGCAGCACGCCTCCAGCGCCGGGCAAACCACTCGCGCAGCTCCTGTGGAGAGAGTGGCTCCCGCCGAGACGAAGCACCAGGAGAACCTCCAGGCACAGTACCGCCTAACGCGACACGAGCAGGTCCAGCTCCCTCAGGCTCCGCACCCCCAGGCTCCGCACCCCCAGGCTCAGCACCCCAAGTCACAGCACCCCCAGGCGTAGCACCCCCAGGCTCAGCACCCCCAGTCGCAGCACCCCCAGGCTCAGCACCCCCAGGCACAGCACCCCTAGTGGCAGCACACTCAAGCTCAGCACCCCCAGGCGCAGTACCCACACTCTCAGCACCCCCAGAGTGAGCACCACAGGCTCAGCACCCTCAGCAGCACCAAAGTCACCAGCAACCTTGACAGGCTCGACTGCGTCTACCTGGGACACACCTGAAGGGGCAGGACCCTGAGGGGGGAGGGGGTCTACCGGGGGGGGACCTGGCACAAGGAAGAGCGGTGGCGGGGGAAGGGACGGAGTGCGGTAGGGGAAGAGGCGGTAGTAGGGGACCGACTCGTCAAACGTGACGTCCTGGGAGGACAGAACACGGCGAGAGGTGGGGTGGTAGAACTGCCACCCTGGCGCGTCAGGGGGGAAACAAGGAAGACGCAAGGAGCAGCACGAGGGGACAGCTTGTCCGCAGACAAGTCGCGGACAAACGCCCGAGATCCCCAGACACGGAACGCAGACGCATCGCCAACCTTCCCCGTCCACAGCAAGGCTGGGGAAGTCTCCGACAATGAGACCCTTGGCTGAAGGTTGATCTGATGCGCCGCGTACCGAACTGCAAACGGCCACAGAAAATGGAGGGCAGCCGCATGCATCATGGACGTACGAGCGACGTCCATGAGCATGCCAATGCGGCGCTCAGCAATCCCATTTTGCTGTGGAGAGTTCGGAAGCGTGAAGGTCTGGCGGATGCCTCGTGCAAGACAGTAGGCTCTCAGGAAGCCAGAGGAGAACTCACTGCCTCTGTCAGAGTGCAGACGCAAAACAGGAAAATCCGAGCCGAAGCTCTGCCTGAGCTGGAGACGAGCTGCGCGGATCCAGTCGATCAGCACCTCAGTGACATCACCCTTGCTGCGCAAGGGGAAGACTGTGGTGTAACGTGAGTAGTCGTCAACCACCAGCAGGAAGTAGCGCTCGTGACCCTGTCCACGGACGCGGGCTGGGCCCCACACGTCCATGTGAAGCATCTGCAGCGGGGCCTCGGTCAGAGGAAACTTGGAGGAGTGAGGGGCAGCACGCTGCCGCCCCTCGACGCAGGGGACGCATGCCCCGGAGGAAGGGGAGGGAGGGACCGGGGAAGACCAGAGACAAGGACACGGGACGCCATGCCTCGGAGACGAGGCAGGGAGGGGTGACCAAGGCGGTGGTGCCAGATTCTCGTGAGACAGGAGACGACACGAACAGGGGGCAGACTCAGGACCAGACCTGGACCCTGCAGCATCCTGTAGGTCAGCACCACTCACCAAGTTTGTAGAGAACGAGGGGAGGTAAAGACCAGACAGGGTGCCAGAGGGGGCCTCCGGACACGGGAGGACAGTGGAGAAGTGAGCAAGGACAGGACCCCCAGAGGGGTCTGCCAGCGAGACTGCAACTGGCCGACCAAGCGGCGTGAGTGTGGTGCGGTCTCGAAAGAAGGATCGAGAGGCCCCAGAGTCAAGGGTGAAGGTGAGGGAGGCCGAAGCCGACGCAGTACCTGAGAGAGCAGACTCACCAGCACCTGAGGAAGCAGACGCACTAGCACCTAGAGCAGCAGCCTTACTAGCACCAAGAGCAGCAGCCTCACGAGCACCTAGAGCAGCAGTCTCAATGCCCGGGTCGGGCGGAAAATACCGGTAACAGTCACCCTCATCACTAATAGTCACAGCATACATAGCAGCAAGAATAGCATCAAACAAAAGGTCAAAGATAGCAACCCCCGCCCTAGACAGCTCGCCCCAGCGAAGGATCTTTGTGGCCTCAGGGAACTGGTGACGCCAAGCGTCCGTTAGGCGGCCAAAGCAGCGCTGGGTGGGGTGCGCACCCCCACACTGCTCACCCGCACGGTCGCCGGTGCGCAGGACGTAGGTGCACGGACCAGTACCCCCACCCCGCTGGCGTGCAGCGTACCACTCACGGAGCTGCTGAGGGGGGGGGGGATGTCACGAATGCGTTGCTGCTGCTGCTGCTGGCGCTGACACCACCGGAGCTGACCCTCTGCGGAGCGCCACCCCGACCAGCTCCACCTCCTCCGCCTCCTCCTCATCCGCCGCCGGCACCTCCGCCACCTCCGCTCCCACCACCACCGCCGCCTCCGCCTCCGCCTCCACTGCCGCCACCGACACCTCCACCCCCACCACCACTCCCACTACCACCCCCACCCCCTCCGCCTGCTCCACCGCCACCTCCACCGCCCCCACCAGCTCCTCCCGCGCCTTTGCCCCCCTTGCCCTTGCCTGTGCGGCGCTTCCCCGAAGGGGCAGACGCAGCGCCGACCGACTCGAAACCAACGAGATCGGCCGTAGCAGCAGAAGCAACAGAGGGCAAGAGGGGGGAGGGAGAACACCCCTCAAAGAGAGGGGTGCGGGAGTCACCACGAGAGGCTCCTACAGCAACTATGCTCATTTCCGTTGCTAGGAGGGCCTTCTCGAGGAGGTCAACGGTGAGAGTGGTGGGGCAAACAGAGAGAAAGTGGTCCCTGACTACGCGGAGGGAGTCAGGGGGACGGGCGACTATGTAGTAGAGGGTGATGTACATGGGGGGGGGGGGGGGGGGGGGGGGTTCTTGGCGCAGAACTCAGCAGGAAGCGCAGCGCGGTAGTGAGTGTCACTAGTGCGGAGGTGTGTAATGAGGTCAGTGACTGTGGGAAAGGCAGCAAGGTCAGGGAAGAGGTACGGTAGCATGAGGCGGCTCAGGCAGCAGTAGCAGGGGAGGAGTAGCGTGCAACTACAGCGTCGTACAAGGTCTGAGCACTCTTGTACTGGCTAAAGTGCGCACGCTCAGAGGTAGGCAGGTGGCGACACACAGCAAGACGTGCAGTAGTATCGCGTGTGGCCCACTGTGAGCAAACAGTGGTGTCAGCATCAGCAGCAGGGGCAAGAGAGGCACCAGAGGTGAGGTCAAAGAGAGAGAGAGACTGTCTGCCCTATCGCACTGTAGGAATACTGCAGGTCATCTATCTAGATGTCAAAGTCAATGGCCCGACCCTCAGCGTCAAAAGCGAGGACACTAGGGGTAGCCATGTCAGCAGTAGACTAGCAGCGCGAACTGTGGGGTGAGGGCAGTGCAGTGACAGAGGCGCTGCTCTTACCGGACAGGGCGGCTCGGGCGGCTCGGCTGCAGGGCGACTCGGCGGCTCGGCAGCTGGGCGGCTTGGCGGCTCGGCTGCTGGGCGGCTCGGCTGCTCGGCTGCTGGGCGGCTCGGCGGCTGGGCAGCTCGGCGGCTGGGCGGCTCGGCTGCTGGGCGGCTCGGCGGCTGAGTGGTTCGGCGGCTGGGCAGCTCGGCTGCTGGGCGGCTCGGCTGCTGGGCGGCTCGGCGGCTAGGCGGCTCGGCTGCTCTGCTGTTGGGCGGCTCGGCCTCTGGGCGGTCCGGCGGGGACGCAAAGGAGGCGGCGGGAGGGCCGCTGAGAGGGCGGCGTCCGGGGTCGCTGAAAGGGCGGCGTCCGGGGCCGCTAAGAGGAGGCGGCGGGGCCGCTGAGAGGGCGGCGTCCGGGGCCGCTGAGAGGACGGCGTCCGGGGCCGCTGAGAGGAGGCGGCGGGGCCGCTGAGAGGGCGGCGTCCGGGGCCGCTGAGAGGAGGCACCGGGGCCGCTCAGAAGGGCGGCGACGGGGCCGCTGCAGAGGGCGGCGACAAGGCCGCGGGAAGGGCGACGATGGGGCCGCTGGAAGGGCGGCGTTGGGGTCGTGCAAGAGCGGCGACTGGGCCGCTGGTGAAAGGGCGGCGAGGGGCCGCAGGGAGAGAGCGGCGACGGGCCGCGAAGGGCGGTAGATCGAGGGCCGCAAGGGCGGCGGATCGGGGCCGCGAGGGGTCGCTAAGGTGCCGTGAGGGCGGCTAGGGCGGCGCGACGCGGCCGTTAGGGCGGCGCGACGCGGCTGCTAGGGCAGCGCGACCGGGCCGCGAAGGGTCGCTAAGGGGCCGTGAGAGGCCGTGAGAGTGGCGCGACGGGTCCGCTAGGGATCGTGAGAGGAGAGACTCACGGAGCGCGACTCGGGCCATGACTGAGCGCGCTCCGGGAAGGAAAAAAAAATCGAATCGGTGGGCCCTAGGAATAGTTCCGACGAGGGAACCTGCTCTATACCATGTGAAATTTAGAATGAGAATGAATGAACTATGAAAGTGTTGGGTACAAGTACTAACCCTAATTGGGTTGTACCCCTTATATGCTACCCCACTACAGCCTACACAAATGCATAAGCTATATGTTCTGACAGAGCTGGGAGTGGTGCTGGTCATTTGTCTACTGGAGGTGCTAAAGTTGCTGGTCCCGGAGGTGCTCGTACTGGAGGTACTGGAGCTGCTCGGGCTAGAGCTGCTGTGTCTGAAGGTGCTCCTGCTGGAGACCCTGGGTCTGGGGGTGCTGCTGTTGGAGGCACTGAGGCTGGAGGTGCCGGTTTTGTTGGTGCAACCCTACGGTTTGCGCTCGGCTTGTTGTCCGTGTGCGTGCATGCGTGTGTGCATGGAATGGAATGAAGGCATGGGATAATATATATATTTCATGCTTATAATAGTGTTTGAATGTTGAGTCATGATGTCGAATGTGTGTGCCGAGTCAATAGCGAGTTATCGCTAGTCGTGTCCCGCGCGGTTTCTATTTTGTCGCTTGTGTGTCTCGCGCGGTTTCTATTTTGTCCGGTGTCAAACGTTCAGCGTGTCGCAGGTGTGTGCAGCAGACCCATCAAGAACTCAAGGATGAGTTTGTGACAAAGAACCCGAGCCTTGATTTCAAGCTTCACCTGATTTCGAAGCTCGCCAAAAGGGTACACCTCAAGATATTGAAGATAGTTACATTACTTTGTGTAGTGTAACATTTCACTTGGTGTAGTCCCTAGTGAAGGGTAGTTTCGAGACCCTTCGTGGTTGGGGACAGTGTGGCAGTGTTCCACATCACTCTACCTCAGCTCTTGGGGTTTGTAGGAGCTGGGAGTCATTCCCAACTCGTAGCTATTGGTAACTCTTCCTATCTTGTGTTCTAAAACTACAGTGGCTGCCATAGTGCAGTTCGTTCAAACCAACGCTGTGTCGTCAATACTTGTTGAAATCGTGCGATTTAAATTGCCTATTGTAGGCGACTTCAAGACGCTTCAGATCCAAGTTGAATCAGGTCATTTAAAGCTGTGACCAGAACGCTATGAACGTTTGAAGCCGCTGTGCAGAAATCCGACTATGCACTTTATCTTTAGGCACATTGGAGCCTACTGTGACTATAACAAGTGGTATCAGAGCCCCTTGGAGTAGTTTCGACAATGGCTGGACCTGTGGAAAGGGGTGGCAGAGGTGCTGGTAGCAGTGGAGAAGCCCAAGCACAAGGCCAGGCCCGTGATTCAGCCGTGGCGCCCGTGCAACCAAGTGTTGGCCCATCTAGGGATGAGCCTAGAGTGTTTGGCCTTGACAAGTTCAACGGCGACAACTTTGCTGAATGGTCCTTCAGAATGGAGAATGTTTTTTATCACTATGACCTGCTGGAGGTGATGGAAGGAACGGAGAAGCATCCCGAGAACGACCCGGAGAAGAGCCCGTGGGTGCGGCAGAGCGCACAAGGCTACCTCCTACTTGGGCAAGCGTTGGGGAGCAGTCAAATTCGTCACATCAAGCCATTCCAGCGTGAACCAGAGAAGGGACCAAAGGCATGGGCTGCTCTCAATGGTGTACACGCTCCTGCAACAGCGGCGGTAGCTGTGGTGTTGGAACGGCAAATGGCGACGCTACGAATTGAAGAGGATGAAGCAGTTGAAGAAGGGGTGCAGAAATTCTTCGACTTGTTGACGCGGCTTGAGGGAGCTGATTTGAAGTATAGTGAGCTCCAAAAGAAGACCAAGTTGCTGGCCCTACTCCCCGAATCGTGGTCCTCGCTCATCATCAACTTGAACTGTGATCTGCCCCGTCTCTTGCTAGAAGACGTGAAACGCGCAATCCTACAAGAGGACTTCCGCCGCCGTGAGTTGGCGAGTGCGGATAGCGCTGGGGCAGCGAGCATCGGCCGTGGATATGGTCGACGAAGAGGCAGAGGACGAGGGGGAGGAAGGTTTGATGGCAGCAGCTTCGGTGGAGGCCGCGGGAGTGGCGATTACGGCAGCGACGACAAGAGCTACGGACGCGGTCGCAGCCGATTCGATGGCGAGTGTCACTATTGCCACAAGGGCGGACACATGTGGCGCGACTGCTACAAACTCCCTGAAGGTTGGACCCCTGCTCAAGGCCAAGAGGGTAGAGGAGCAGGAGGAGGGAGAGGAAGAAGCCGTGGAGGCTGTGGCGGTCGCGGTGGCGGAGCTGCAAACATGAAGAGCAGAGACAACGACAAGGACCCGAGCGACAATCGGTACCCGGGTCTATTCTACTTCGTATCGACGCAAGTACCGGCTGGTCCAGAGAAGGACGAAGGCTTTGAGGAGCCAGCAGCAGTGAGGAAGGTGACCCTACACCCCCTGGACTATTGGGTGATCGATAGTGGCGCTACCTATAGCATGACACCTCGCCCGGACTTGCTCACCGAACTCGAACCGTCACCGGTGAAGCATGTCACATCGGCTTTGGGGCAGCGAGCTGAGGTGAAAGGCATGGGCAAGGCCATGTTCAAGGGTGCTGATGGGAAGATGGTGGGCCTCAAGAACGTGCTTTGGGTGCCCAAACTTGCAGCCAACCTGATTTCCGTGCGGTGATTGGCAAAGGCCGGCATGGACACGAACTCGAAGGGAGCCAAGACTTACACCGCGAGGCTTGGCGAGCGGATTCTATGGGACCTTCACGAGGATAGGGATGTCTACAACGAGATGTGGCAGATCTCTGTGGTCCCTATGCCTAAGGAGAGGCAAGTGGCAGCAAGCGTCAGCACCAAGGGTGAAGCGGTTGGTAGCGGCGATGGCGCGAACGGTCGCGTTAAGGAGAATGAGTCCAACAAGTGGAATCCTGGAGGGACCAGCAAGAAGAGCGAACCTAAGGAGAGTGATGCAGCAGCCAAGGAGCAGCACAAGGGTGAGGAGTATCAACGGGAGTTGTGCTTGGCCTCGTCCTCGCTTGGGCGGAGCCGAGCGTGGGAGCCACGAAATCGCGGTGGACCGTGGGAGCCACGAAATCGCGGTGGACCGTGGGAGCCACGAAATCACGGGGGACCGTGGAGCCACGAAATCACGGGGGACCGTGGAGCCACGAAATCCCGGGGGACCGTGGATCCACGAGACCGCGGAGGACCGCGGTGGCAGAGAAACCGCGGGAGGGCCGCGAAATACCCAGTCAACCAGGATACCCGGGCGACGTGCGCGAAAGTCGCCGGGGATGTTGTCTGCAAGGACGACCTCGGGGGTGGTAACCCGAGGTCGACGTGGCTGGTGGGCGCCGTCACGGGTGAAGTGTATGCGCTGGGCATGTGACGGGGAGTTGGGCGACAACCAGCTGCACTCACCTGCGAAGCC